AATAAGTATCATTGTGAACCATAAGCCTTCGGTGCTATAGAACAGCTTGTACTTACACAAGAGGGCAAATGACATGGGGCAGCAGGGAAAGATGGCTAAGTAAAAGTAGATCAGTCTAGAGCTAGTAGTTTGTATGCAGAGGGAAGCCTTGCCTTCTTTCCCACTACAGCTCATTCCAGCAGCTTCCAGATATTTCCTCTAGAGCAGTGGTTCTCATCCTTTTTTGTACCAGGATCCATATGTAAACATTGATGGCCAGTCCTGACCCAGTACCCCTCCCTCCTGGCCCGCTGCTCCCCTGCCCCCAGGCTCCAGCCACCCAGTGTGTGGGGCAGGGGGTGCATGTGTGGGGCATGGGGGGACCCCAAGCAGTCCTGTGCAGGCTGGAACTCTGACAGCCTGCAAGTGAAAAGCCATGGTTTCCCACGTTTTTCTTATTTTTAAAGTTTGTTGATCCATTTTTGTGAACCTTTCATATATTCTTGTGACCCATTTTTGAGTGGTGACCCATGGGTTGAGAAACGCTGCTCTAGAGCAGCATTTCTTAACTTGTGGGTCTCAACCCAAAAGTATGTCACAAGAATATATGATAGGGTTGCGAAAAAACTTTTAAAATGGATTTTCCTTTAAAGGAGAACCATGTGGGAAACTGGCTTTTTCCTTTCAGGCTGGCAGAGCTCCTGCCTGCGAGGGGCTGCTTGGGGGGCCCCCTGTGCCCACACACCCCTCCCTGTCCCTTACCCCACACACTGGGGGGCTGAGGCCTGGGGGTGGGGGGCAGTGGGTCGGGACTGGCCACTGATGTTTACAAATGGGTCCTGGTATAAAAAAAGTTGAAACCACTGGTCTTGAGATGCCATATCGAAGAAAGAAGCTTTGGTGCCAGCTTGGTATAGGCAATTTTTGGTGAAATGACTGTTTGATAAAGAAATTGAAGCAGGCTGGATCGTTCCTCATGACTTATGAGGAAAGACTGAGGGAACTGGGCTTATTTAGTCTAAAGAAGAAGAGACTGAGAAGGGATTTAATAGCAGCCTTCAACTACCTGAAGTGGGGGTTTGAAAGAGGACGAAGCTAGACTTCTCGCTGGTGGCAGATGAGACCATTGTTCCTTGTTCTGTCAAGTTGCAGCAAGGAAGGTTTAGGTTAGATATTAGGAAGCTTTTCCCCACTAGGAGGGTAGTAAAGCACTGGAACAGGTTACCCAGAGAGGTGATGGAAGCTCTGTTCTTGGAGGTTTTCAAGACCTAGACAAAGCCCTGGCTGGGATGATCTAGTTGGGGATGCTTTGAGCAGGGTGTTGGATTAGACGTGACCTCTTGAGGTCCTTTCCAGCCCTAACTTTCTATGATTCTGGTGTTTGTTTTGATACTAGTAAACATTTGGACTTTGTTTTTAAATTTGTAAACTTTTGATAAAAAGAAAAATGCTGCTACTTAGGGCCTAACCCCATTCAAGCACATTTGCAACTTTAATATATACATTTTTTACTATGTGACTATGCATAAGGAATAGTTTGATAAATCTCCCACAACTTTTAGACCTTTGATACTGAAGACAAATTAGAATTAACTAGTTTTGAATACACTTTTGAAAATATGAATTATTATGGAGTTGCCCATCTCATCGCCATATCTAAGACTACCTTGAATTTTGAAGGTTGAATCTCTTTCATGCGTGAAGAAATGCAACAAAATATTTTTTCATTTTACTCCACTTCTCCCAGAAATTATGGCTTGTGATCTTTCAGTATAGGACTGATATTTTTCCCAATTAACTGCAAATCAGAATTTGAAAATTTATGTTTTAAAAATGTCAAGCAAGCCGTCTCTTACCTGGTACATGGCACGTGTGGAGCTGGAGAAAAAGCAGCAAGTTCTAGGAAGGGCCTATGTGGCACCATGATGCTCAAATGCCATCTTGAGCTTGGAGAGCTCATTTTCAAATGATGAGTCTTCAGCATGCCTAAACGCTTCTTTCCAGACATGCAGAAATTCCCTATTTCAGGTGCAAAATTTGACTTGACCAGAATTTGATAGAATTCTGAATTCAGTAACACCTCAAAATATAATTGATTATTCTTTCTAATAATTTGACATAAGGGGTCAAAGAAGTGTGAGCCCAAGAAGTATTATTTTGTTGGCTGGTATAAAAGACATGTAAAGTGGAGTAGAAGTCTTGCCTAAATATTTGTTGTTTGAGGTTTTTCTCTGCTGGTCTAATCCTTCCATTTGAAGTAATTTTTTAGTGTTAGTGTATTAGGGTTAGATTTAGCAGTGAAAATTGACAAGTTTCATTTGAATGTCAAACTAGTGCCAGCGGCTTTAAATGTTTTCCATCCACTACTATAGAATATTATGAGAGAGAATTTAAAACTCCACTTGTTTTTCAGACGAGAAACAAATATAGTTAGGATTTAAACATTCATTTTAATTGCTTTCAGTGTATAGAGAAGTTAAACTTTTACAGCGTGTGCGCTAGTGTGAAACAATGCTGAAATTTCAAGGAGGAAAAAAATCCAGCCTCAATTTGTTGGACATTAACTGTTCTAGAAATTGTATTTCATAATTATGAGGGGGAAATGGTTGGGCTGCTTCACTGCCAATACACAATAACAGCAAATATGGTACAGTTATACTCACTGCAAAAATCCTTTTAAAAAGCATGTTGACTCAAAGTTCAACTGCTGAGCTTTCCTTTTACTGTAGCTTTAGAAAAATTCATATTTTGCTTGTTTGCACTGAAATCCTACTATGATTTCCTGTATGAACGACTTCAAAAAGAGAAGTAAGATGTATGGAGACCAGGAGAGACTTTTTAGAAGAAATAGCATGTTTTGTACCTAAACACAGTAGGAGCATGCCCCTCTGTTGGTATGCTGGCCTCATCTACTCCTGTCTCATAAGGAGGTACTTAGGTTAGTGGCTAGAACACATGCTACGGTATTTTTTAACAAATAGGGCTTATCTTACTTTTCTAAAGGAATGTCTTACCACCCCTATTCAAATGTAAATTTAGATGTAGGGAAGAGATCCATCTTTCAACTATAAGTCCATTCCTTGTCTCCTCTTACAGCCCTTTTTTACCACCATCCAAATCAGGTCTTGGACAGTTACTTCTGTCAACATACTTTTGATTTATGAACGATCTGTATGAAATTCTGGTCCTGCTGAAGTGGCAAGTGTTCATAATACATGGGCAGAAGGTAGAATTAGTATATTTATGTGACAGGAAGCAGTATTATTCATGTCTGTTTCTTATTGATGGAGTTTTCAAGACTGCCTGTGCATCTCTGCTAGCAAAGAGTACGAGCACTTTTAAAAATATGTATGGATGTTCAGAAGCCCATGCTTCAAAGATGTTTCAAACTAACATTCTCCTTAACCTACAGTTAATATAATATTTGGCTATATGCATACCAGTGTCAAGAAAAAAAATTGATTGCATTAAGTATAGAAGCTCAAAACTAAGTTTCTTTGCTCTCTTGTGTAAGAAGTAGAGATGATATTTTAAGGTATAGTAGTCGTCAACTATTACAAACTTCAGCTAATGAAGAAACCTTTCCTTTCAGTCTGTTTGAATTGCTCCCAGAAGGCATGAAAGCTAGATAGCATGGTCAGTTAACCTTTTTTTTTTTCTCTTCTTTTTTTGCCTCTATTGCTGCCAGATATTCACATATGAAAAATATAAATTTGATTTTTGCCAAGTAAAGACTTAAAGTCTTGTTTCATCCGGGGGCTGAAAACGTTCAGCCCCCAGCTCTGGCATTCAGCCCCTGGTGAGAGATGCAAGGGCAGAAGCCCATTGTGCCCCCCATGAGCCCTGGAATCCCCCAAGAGGGCCCCAGATGAGTCCCAGCCTACCCAGAGGTGAGCAGGGGTCCATGGTGGGAGGGACATAGCCCAGCTGTGGGGAGGCAGCTGAGTGGAGCCAAGGAGGGTCACGGACCCTCCCCTCCCCCCGAGGGAGCCATGCGAACAGGACGCACAAACAGGCACACTTCTGGGCAAGGCGCACTAGTTAGCATGGAAGTTTGTGCAGGAGGGTGAGCGGGAGGGCCCAAGGCCCTGCAAGTGAGCCCCAAGAGATGGTAGTCACAGCAGTAGCCAGACTACCAGCGGCACAATGTGGATGGCCACATGCCGCACCCTGAGGGTCCCCTCAGAATCTGAGACCTCCCCCTCTGGCCCTTCTGAGGCCTCCACACAGATGGAACCCTTGGTTCCGGCCTCCGCGCAGATGGAGCCTCTGGCTCTCGGCCGCGAGGGCTGCCAGGCATGATTCTAGTGTCATCGTGAAGGCTTCAGCTTCCACAATCATAGTCCATTCTTTGGTGAGAGAGGCAGCGGTCGGCTGGGAAGAGACGGCCTCCACCTCACCTCACTGGGGAGGAAGGTTTCTCAGCCAGAATGGCTGACCTGCTTGACTGGGCTTTAAACTAAGCCTGCTGGAAGATGGGTGGACAGCCACCAAAGCAAGTCCACTAGGCAATACCTACAAAACAAATAGGTTAGGGCACCCAAGGGATTCCACTCCTACCCCAGCCCTGGAAGGGTGTCCTCCTGGGAATGTCAGGAAGCCTAGGGCTCCCAATGAGACGCTTATGTGTCTGTACACAAATGGAAGGAGGTTGGGGAACAAACGCAAGAGGAACTGGTCCTCCTACTAAACAAGAAAGACTATGATCTCATAGGAGTAATGGAGCCCTGGTGGGACTCCAGCTATGACTGGGCCACAGGTATAGGTGGCTGTACCTTGTATAGGAGAGATCATGCAGATAAAAAGGGTGGGGGTGTAGCTCTATGTCAAGGATAGCTTCACATCTCTGCAAGCTGACTTTGGCACCCAGGGAAGGCAACTAGGGACCCTGTGGGTTAAAATATATGGGGAACATGGCATGGGACACAATGGTATGAGTCTACTATAAAACCCCTAACCAGGAATGAGAGAGTGACCAGGAATTCTCCAGGGAACTGGCTGAGGCTACACGCTCTTGGTGCATGGTTGTCATGGGAGACTTCAAGTACCCAGATATCTTGTGGGCAGAGCACTCGGCCAAATCCAAATGGTCTCAAAGCTTCCTCGCGTGCGTGGATGAACTCTACCTGACTCAAGAAATCTATGGACTCACCAGAGGTAAAGCGCTGCTGGACCTGGTACTGGCTAAAGGGGATGACCTTGTCAGCAACCTAAACATTGAAGGAAAGCTAGGAGTTGGTGACCACAAGCTGATCATGTTTACTATCCATTGCAAAGCTGGCAAATCAGTCAGCAATGCAGAAGTCCTTGACTTTAGGAAAGCTGACTTTGATAAGCTCAGGAGGCTTGTTGTTAAGGCTGTAAGGGACCAAGACTCAGCAGGGAGAGGAATCCAAGAGGAGTGGTCACTCCTTAAGGGAGCAATCCTGGAGGCACAAGGATGTCCATCCCACCTTGGAGGAAAGGTAGCAAAAGGCACAGCAAACCCCTTGACTCAGCAGGGAGCCCGTGGACCTCCTATGCCTCAAAAGAGACGCTTATAAAGGATGGAAGATAGGAATCGCCACAAAGCAGGATTATTCTGCACTGGTCCATACCTGTAGGGAGCGAACCAGGAAAGCCAAGGCTGCCACTGAATTCCACCTGGCTACACATATCAAGGACGATAAAAAGTCCTTTTGTAGTTATGTGGGGATTCGGAAGAAATGCAAGGGTAACATTGGACCCCTGCTAAACCAAACAGAACTGACACCCAGGAAAAAGCTAACCTGCTTAATGGGTACTTTGCATCGGTTTTTCATCAACCCAAAGCCAAGATGCAGGACAACCAGGGTAAGGCTGAAATTATACCCAGCATCAGTGTAGACCTTGTAAAGGAATACATTGAGAGGCTGGACACCTTCAAGTCACTGGGTCCTGACAGATTGCACCCCAGAGTACTTAAGGAGCTGGCAGGAGTCATAGCCTAGCCACTGGCAAAGATTTTCAAAAACTCCTGGCACTCAGGTGAAGTACCAGAAGATTGGAAGAAGGCCAATGTGGTGCCCATCTTCCAGAAAGAGAGCAAAGTAGATCCAGGGAACTACAAGTCAATCAGCTTGACCCCAATCCCTGGTAAGATTCTGGAAAAATCATCTAAGAGTCCATTCTTGATAAGCTGGCTGATGGCAACATCCTGAGGGGACAGCCAGCATGGGTTTGTTGTGGGTAGGTCTTGCCTGACCAATCTCATCTCCTTCTATGGCCAGATGACATATAACCTGGACAAGGGAGAAGATATTGATGCCATATATCTGGATTTCAAAAAAGCCTTTCATCTTGTGTCCCACAATCTCCTCTTAGAAAAATTGGCCAACTGTGGTCTTGGCTACATCACAGTTTGATGGCTGGAGAATTGGCTCCAAGGCTGGACTTAAGAGAGTCAGAATGGATACAGGTGTCAGAAGGGGATTGGTCAAGTTTGCTGATGACACCAAACTTTGGGGTTGAGTGTCCATGCCGGAGGATAGGCTGGTGATCCAGGCTGGCTTGGATAGGCTGAAAAGGTGGGCAGATAGAAACCTGATGACTTTCAATACCGACAAATGTAAGGTACTCCACCTGGGGGTGGGGGAAGCTGCGGCATTCTTATAGGTTTGGTAGTGCTATGCTCGCTAGCACCAAGGCTGAAAGGGACTTGGGGGTCATGATTGACCACAAGATGAACATGAGCCACCATCTGTAGCTGGTAAAGCAAACCAAACTCTGGCTTGCATCCAATAAATGCTTCTCAAGTAAATCTCAGGATGTCATCCTCCCACTCCAATTCTGGGCTGTACAATTCAGGAAGGATGAGGAGAAGCTTGAGAGAGTCCAGAGGAGTGCCACACACATGATCAGAGGGTAACAGAATAGGCCTTATGAAGAGAGGCTGAGAGCCATGGGACTCTTCAGTCTGGAAAAGTGAAGGCTCAGGGGGGACCTGGTGGCGGCCTATAAGTACATCATGTGTGTGCATTAGGATCTTGGGGAACATCTGTTCACCAGAGCACCCCAAGGGATGAAAAGGACCAACAGTCACAAACTTCTCCAAGACCGTTTTAGGCTGGACATAAGGAAAAACTTCTTTGCTCTTCGAGCTCCCAAGTCCTGGAATAGGCTCCCTCCCAAGGTGGTCCAAGCACCTACTCTGGACTCTTAAGAAGTGTTTGGACACTTATCTTGCTGGGATCCTTTGACCCTAGCTGACTTCCTGCCCTTGGGACAGGGGGCTGGACTCGATGATCTCCCGAGGTCCCTTCCAGCCCTAATGTCTGTGAAATCTATGAAAAGGTAAGAAGTATAGGCTATGGAAAAATGTCTGTTTGTTTAAAGAAAACAAAATATTTTCAACACCTATTACCAAGGTACTTGGATACTTTACAACATTATTGCTAAAGACATTCTGATATTTAGAGATGTACAGTTTTAGTAGAATCCTGTTTGCAGCCAATTACTGTCACAGCTTAGTGAATACTGTCTCTGCAAGGCACACAGTTAAAGTATACTAGTTATGGCAACTAACCTTGTTTTGCTTATCTTTAGGGGATAGGTTGGTACACATTTCTTTAACCAGTTCCAGACATGTTTTTTTTTTTTTTTAGGTCTAGACAAGAGCTCTGTATTTATGTACTCAGCTGATTCCTTTCCATCCCAAATGTTGGTGGGGAGTGGGATGGGATATTGTTGCTATTGTTCTCATTCTTTTTGTAAGAATTATCCCAGAATGCAGAAATACAAACCACAGAGCTGTTGTGTGGCCCACAATTGACCGTGAGCAGGCATTGTTGCTTGTTTTTGTAGGTCCTGGCCAGCATCAAGTTAGAGGGAGGGAATTGGGTGACTGAATTGTAGTCAGTTTTCTGCTCTAGGCTTCAATCCCCACCCCCCCTTTTGCTTTAATCAGGGTTTAAAGTTGAAACATGCATCAGGGTGAACTAGGTTCCGAGGGACATATCCCTCTAGTAGTCTTTCTTAATGGCTGTTCTTATGTGTACCCCTGCACTGATGAAACAATAGCTAGTAAGTAACTGCTCTGCTGGTAATAAAGCAAGTGTGATATCTTGTAGCTCCTTTCTGTCTTGCTCTTGAAGTTGGTGCTTTGCCATCACAGGAGTTGCTCCCTGTGGTTCTACAGCTAAAGGCTCTCGGTTTTCAGGGCTTGCAGTCTACAGCTTTTTCTGGAATAGGATTGCTTAGGATACCTCAGCTTTAAGTAAAAAGCCAAACGTGCTGACCGGTTGCACCATAAATACCATTGTTGCACATGCCACCCAGAACTGAATGCGGACCTATTTATAATCTGAATAAAGGTTTGAATAGTGAATATTTTTTGTTTCTAATCCAATTTTAAAGGAAGTAAATGCTGTTAAGCATTTTAACTATTAAGTAAATGACAAGCTGGACTACAGCAAAGTACAGTCTTTGCACATATCTACAAGGAAATGGTATTTATTGAGGATGCATGAAATTTCATATCGATCAGAAGAAATTTCTATGTTTTCTGTATAATGTAGAAAATATATTTACACCAACTTTTAACTTAAAACATGAAATCTAAATACTTTTAATGGTATTTCCTACACATTGAAATAACAATATATTATGGAATCTGATGAAAATAAGCAATGGGTGAAAGGTGGTGTGTGGTATTGGACAAAAATTCCTAAAATGTTTTCTCATGAAAGTATAAATGTATTTAAATGTAGAAGTTTAAAACTCTGAAAGAGATCTGGGTGAGAGATGCTTTCCATGATACAACTCTTTATTTTGTAGTCACTTCCCTAGGGAAACTGTGGCATTCAGCATGTGGAAAATCACAAAGACCTGCTAGGGTATATATCTTATTGAGTAAAGAGACTTTACATACTAAGTATTACACTCTGACTCTTCCTTTGTTTCCTTTTCCAGATCTTGAACCAGATGACTGTGCATCCATATACATCTTTAATGTAGACCAGCCATCATCATCTGTAAATCAGCCAATTTGTATCCCTCGCCATGGATTGCAACCACACACCTCTCCTCTGTCCCCACCTGCCAGATTGCAAGGTCATAAAAACTATGAAGGGACTTGTGTGGTACCAGAATCCAAATACAGCCCACTAGGTGGACCCAAACCATTTGAGTGCCCTAGTATTCAAATTACATCTATTTCTCCTAATTGTCATCAAGGAATTGAAGCCAGTGAGGATGACTTGCACACAAATGGCACAGAAAATGAATATATGGAAAGGCCTTCAAGGGACCACCTATATCTTCCTCTTGAGCCATCATACAGGGAATCATCCCTTAGTCCAAGCCCTGCCAGCAGCATTTCCTCCAGGAGCTGGTTCTCAGATGCTTCCTCTTGTGAATCCATTTCTCATGTTTATGATGATGTAGACTCTGAGCTTAACGAAGCTGCTGCTAGATTTACCCTTGGATCTCCTTTGGCATCTCCTGGCGGTTCTCCAAGAGGTCCAGGGGATGACACTTGGCAACAGCCTTATGGATTTGGGCATGCCTTATCACCTAGACAGTCTCCTTGTCATTCTCCTAGAACTAGTATTACAGATGAAAACTGGCTAAGCCCAAGACCACCATCAAGGCCCTCTTCAAGACCTACATCCCCCTGTGGGAAGCGACGACACTCCAGTGCCGAGATTTGTTATGCTGGTTCTCTGTCTCCCCATCATTCTCCAACTCCATCACCTGGCCACTCTCCCAGGGGAAGTATAACAGAAGATACGTGGCTAAATACTTCTCTTCATAGTATACAGGGTCTTAATTCTGGCCTGTCACCATTTCAGTGTTGTACAGAAACTGACATCCCTCTTAAAACAAGAAAGACCTCTGAGGATCAAACTGCCACTTTATCAGGAAAAATAGACCTCTGTTCTGAAGAACAGGGTAGTTTATCACCATCCCTTGAAACTGCAGATGATTGCTCAGGATCGCAACACACATTAAAAAAGGACTTGCCTACTGACCAATTCCTTTCTGTTCCTTCCCACTTTACTTGGAACAAACCAAAGCCTGGCCATACTCCTATTTTTCGGTAAGTTTAAGAACTTAGAAGCCCCTGTCAGATGTGCTGTGTGGATATTTAGTGTGTTTTATTCTAATGGTAAGTTATGAGCTTTGTGAATGTCTGAAAACTGGATTCTGGTTGTAGAAATGTAGTAGAGCCAACAGATCTGCTTCCTTATTAAAGTGCTCCAGCCACACTAAAAATTGAGGCATCTGAAGCTAAATGTGATGCCAGTGAGCAGGCTGTTCCAGCAGAGAGTCCAGTGGAACTTCAGTATGAATGCAGCAATGGCAGGAGTGAAAATGTATAAAAGGCAGGTTTTTCCATAGCAAGGAATCTCTCTCCTTTCCTGCAGTGCCTATTGTGCTTTGGTGTTGTAAATCCCTAAGAACAGTAAAGCATTAAACTTGGCAAAAAAAAGTGATCGTATGGGAATATGCCTTTTCGTAGAGCAGTTAAATACCCCATTGAGTCTTCACTTTTTCAGTCCTGCCTTGTTTGCTGCTTTTCTGTTTGCTAAAATAAAATCTTGTAAAGAAAGCTAATCTGATTACTGCAGTGCTTTGAAATCTTGTACCCTCAAATGTCTTAGCATGGTTGCCTTTACAGCTTTTTCCCTTTATACCTTTCGCTTTATTTTTAAGTGTTTTTTTTTTTAAGCTTTTTGCTGTTTTCCCTTACTCCACTCATTGAGCTACATGCTACATAGAATGGTGAGGGGAAAATCCATTGATTCTTCAGAGCAGAGCTTCATCTCCAGCACTTCTTTATCTAAGGAAAAACTGATAAGTAGGATGGATACTGTCTGAGCATGTAACTCTTGCAACTCCTTGGAAGCAGTAAGGAAAAATTAGTTGTTCAAGGAGCTGTCCCCCACTGGAGCTGCAGGTAAATATTGTGTAGGGGCAGACATGGATGGGTGTCTAGAATTCAGCAGTTTTTTGTCACCTCAAGAAGGGTCAGCTTCAGGAGAGGAAGCAGCTGTAGACTACGCAAGGTTTTTGGTGGTGCCTTCTTTGTTTAGTACCAGTTTAAAATCTAGCTTTCTCCTGAGAGCAGCTCCAATTCCTTTCTGAATTCATTCTTTCACATTGGGGAATTTAGTCATTGCATCATCTTAGATATGGAAGACCTCTCCTTCTGAGCCTGTTAAGCAAACAGGTCTGTATTGGCAGCAGAAGGTTCGTTTGTTTTGTTGGCCTTTGTCTAAGGAAACAGTCTGCTGATGGAAGGGAGACAAATGTATGAAGACCAGTAGAGTGTGAGTGTGTTTTTAAAGACTTTCTGTAATTGGTCATGTGAGGCAGGGTCTAGCACTCAAGTAGATTATAGCTTTCTGTCTAATGGAACTGGAAGTGACTTTTCAAAATTAACTACAAAAACTGAGGAAATATTTTCAGCCTCAGCAGGTGCAACTTTGCAAATCATAACATTTGAGAACCCTGCCTTGGAGTAAAATTTAGGGAATCTCTAACAATTTCTCCACACATACATGCAGCTGAGCCACGTGGGTGTTGGGCAGCAACTTAAATTGATATATGTGAAGAATCTCTGTTGCCTGGATTCTTAAATAGAAAAAAAGAACCTTTTATAAGCAGGATTTGTGTGGAGGTAGAACACTAATGCTGGAGGAAGAGGTGTCTAATGTAACAGTTGTGAGAGTCAGTCAGAGTACCTGTGGAAGCAGGGCCTTTCAGTGTTGGGAAGGTTCAGAGGTGCAAGGGTTCAGAAGATCAAGGATGGAACCGTGAGAAGGAGATTTCTGGGTGCATACAGGTTACATTATGATTGGCCAGAAGAATGGGGTCCTATAGGAGAAATATGGAGGGAGGGGAGGATGGAGCCATGGGGCAGTAACAGATGCTCATTTGAAGGGAAGGCTTCATATGGTGAGTGGGTGTGGGGAGGCTTTGTAGTGAGTTCCTGGAATAGAGGGACATAAGAGAGTGCACTCAAGGAATAATTGGTGGAGTAACAGAGGAAAACAAGGAGCCAGATGAAACATCTTATAGCAGGGGTGCTCAGACTTGTGCCTGTGAGTCGCGTGCAGCCTACAAAGCCTTGGAATCTGGCCTCTGGGGCCTCTCCATGGGTCCGGAAATTTGGCATGGGAGAGCGGCAGCAGTTAATATTGCCTCCTCTACCTGCTGCCAGAATCCCAAGCCCTGAGCAGTGGGTCAGAGCTGAACCATGACTACTTTTCCTCCATGGGGCTGGGCCACTCCCTTTTCCCTCTTCTCTGCCAGGTTGGGGCTGAGCCATGCCCCCTTCCTTATGCCGGGGAGGAGGAGGGGGAGCAGACAGATGGCTGGGCTACGCTCCCATTCTCTCCACCCTGCCTGGTTGGAGTCAAGCCATGCCCTCTTCTCTGCCCAGTTGGATTGGGCCAGGCTGCACCCCCCTACCTGCTCCCCTCCACATGGCAGGGGCCCTGCAGCACCCACTTTGAGTGCCACATTGAGTCCATTAGGCAGATCTGGTCCATGGAGGGGCTGGGCACTGCCTATCTGGCCCACTAGCCAAAAAGGTTCAGCATCATTTCCATACTTTAAGTTAAAGCGAAAAACCCATAAAGTAGAATTAGGGTGTTGACACACTACATGCTTATAGTGTTGCAACTGACTTATAACATTGGCACAGATAAAGAACAGACAGATGATATAACACCTTACAGTAACAGTACTCAGTCCAATGCAGAATAATGCTGAAAGAATTTGGGGTAAAACTGCACCTGTGAAACTTGCCCTGGCATCATGCCTGTAGTTTACTTCAGGGTAGCAGTTTACTCCTTGCAAATAGCATGTTCTGCACCCGGACACAAGGTAGGAGCCACTAATAGTTGCCTACAGTGTACTCCCCTGGGATAGTGTAAGCCATAAGTTAAGTGCCTAGGCTCTTTATAGACTGCTAATGAAATTTGTTTCACAGAACAGGTGTGCCCAGTAGAAGCACTTCTACAGAATATTAATGAAATGAAATGACTGGCTTCTCATACTATTTCTGTCTTGTGCTAGTTTTTCATTAGCACATCCTTTCAAATCCTATTGTAGATGCATCTGTTCATTTAAAAATGAAACCATACCCAAGTCCCCAAAATTTGTGTGTGTGGGGGTGGGGGAGTTATGCTCACATCAGATCACTGATGGATACTTATGCATGCAATAAAGAGGCTTCCCTTTTCAGAAGACTTTAGGTTTCTATATTAAACCTCTGAGACACTTGAGCCATCAAGGAAAATTGTCATAAATACAATGAATGAACACAGATCTCCTCCACTCCCTTACTTCCACTTATATTAGTGGTGGTGGAATTGTTTCTGGTTGTATTTTTTCATGTACTTGTCTTTGACTGACTGAGAACAACTTTGGCAACTTAAGGGTCTGAAGTCTTCTGAAGTTGTGAACATCTGGGAAATTTGCTGATACTGATATTTGATTTGTCTATCTGCTCTGCAAACAATCTGAATTTTGAGCGCCTTCTCCAATGAGGCCAAGTAAGTCATAACTTTGAAAAATAGTAATTCTGGAAAGTGTTAATCACTGCTTTCAAATGAGTCTTTGATCTATAGATTAGTGACAGACAAAATGAAAGGAGCAATTATGTTCCCCTTTGTAGTGGCAGCTGAAAAAACAGAAGCTGCCAACCATGGCACCAGGCCACAAGACGAGAACTAACACAGGGAATAAAAGTAGTTTCCCTGGCAATGACAGCAAATGCATGGGCAAGGGCCTTGACTATGGCCGTCTGTAGATGGAGATCTAAAAGCAGAGAAAGCAGTTTGAACATAGACTTGGAAGAAGGCAGCAAGACTCTCTGGCTGTACTTTTCAGAAGGGTAGACCAATTTTAGGAGCAAGGAAACTTCTATTTCTGTAATATTCAGGGAAACAGGACTTTGTCCACTGTTTTCTTCAAACAGGATGGCACCAAAGAAATACCAGAGTTATTTTTTGTTTGTTTTTGCAAGATCTCAAATGTAGGTTATTTGGGCAAAGAGGAACAATGCTTTAAGTGGCCCTCTGATTAGGAGGGGCTTCAGCACTCAACCTCCCAGGAATACTTCTGGTTCTCTTTAGAATTAAATTTTAATTTTTTCACTAGAAAACACAATGTATGGATTTCATCATTTTAATGTCTGGTTTACCAGTAAAAGTAATTAAACATTTTCCTTCTGTCCCATATTTTATGGGATTTGCAGTGATGCTTCCATCATATATGTGACTTTTCTTCTCTTCCCCCCCCCCATCCCCCAAATAAATATTTGAGTTTACTTTTATCCATTATGACTTCACTGCATGATCAGCTAGGGAGATGATAAATAAAAGGAGGTGAAACTTCCACTTCAGAAAAAGCCATTATTTATGTGTGAAATCTCCCGCAACCATACTTAAGAAGGACATAGTTGCAGCTATTGTGAAGGTTGGGTCCATTTGTACTATAGAGTACTACATTAGAGTCCATTTGTACTATAGTCTCCTTCCAGAAACCGTCTTTTTTTTTTTAATAAAGTCTAATAAAATTGTACTACATTAGGATAATAAGTAGCAACATTTAGGATAAATTAAAATCCAGGTTAACTATGCTGGAGATGGTTCACATTAGGATTTGTATAGTCAGTTACCCCCTTCACAAAACAGGAATGGTAATCAAAACAGTGGCAGCTCTTCATATGGCTAGGGACAGACATTCAAAAAGCCTGAGCCTGAATTTAACCTGGCTAAGTTAAATCAGTTTTGTATGGACAGACATCCTAGAAACGCAGGCACATGCCTGCAGTAGCTCAGGCTAGAAGCTGGGGGGGCACTAGAGCAGCCCTCCCTTCCTTTCCGCAGCATGGAGCTGAAGGGGGTGTGGCCAAGCTCTGGGAGGATGCTGTGATTAGCCCAGCAGGGAATTGATAACAGTATTTATCACCCCTAACTCAGTGTTTATCACCCCATTAAGAAAACAACAGAGGGACATTACTAGTTATTTCTTGATTCTGTCTGTTGATTCAGCACAGACTATGGCCAGCATGTGGTCTGTTAG